TTTTAATTGCTCCTTTTTTCTCCATATTAATTCCCCTCAATTTCTATGTTTTTTTGCCTATGGCCACTGGATTGAAAAATTTGGTCGAGTTTGCTCGTGTGTTCGAATGAGACGGTAGAGAAATTCATTATCATTGTTGAAAGGCGTAGACGATGAATAAGATAATGTTCTTCAGATACACACAGTTTATGCCTATGGAAAGAGAAGAAGATACATTCATCAGATATTAAAAGTGGAACCAATTTGTTTTACTTAATTTCTACCCTCTTAAGTTTGTAAATCATCAAGTCTCTTGCTGTTTGCATATAGCTATTTGAGCCTTAGTCTTAAGCAAGCATATTATGCACTTGTTTTTTGTGTTATTTTGCTTCATTCCAGCAGTCTATTTAACATACCAACAGTTCTCAAGAGCTCGTCTTTCTTTTCTTTTCTTGCCTTGAGAGAATGAGTTTTTTCACATACACAGTAGGTTTTGTTCTTGGGTTTTTGCATAGGTTGTGGTGACAGTTGGGAACGTTCGGTAACTTTATCATTCAGTGATACAAAGCTGCCAGGCTTACATGACTTGCTATTGAAGAATGTAATGATCTTCAGCGTTCGTACTTTGTTCTGAACTTATGTTTTGGGATGAGCTTTCCTTTTTTTGCTACTTTAGCTTGCTTTGTGCCTTAACATTTTGCTTGTACTTGATTTATACATTGATTTACCACCTACTTCTTGTTTAAGCAATTCACACAATTGTTGAACTCTTGCCCATGCTTTGGAATACAGTTAAATAACATGTCAACCATTTTGTTTTCCAAGTGGAATCCCCTTGTATATGAAAGAGTGAAAAAACCGTCGTAGGGCATAATAGGCGATTACCTATTCAGCACGCTGGAGGTTATGAAACCTTATGGGCTCGATAGGGCCTTCTCAAATAGGGAAAAGCATCAATAGCATTAAACTGGCTACTCCTGTGATTATTGATAATTCTTGCTCAATGCTGTGATTTGTATTTTGTATTTTTTTAGCGCAACTATCTGCAATACTGTATGATTTATTTGTCTTCTAGATAGGCCAAAGTTGAGTTCTCTCCTAATTAGTTGTAATCTTCAGTATGAATCTACTTCTGCTTTGATTATTTTCTAAACGATTCACTTATTGCCACCAAAATATTATTGGAAAGTTATCTTCTGAATCTCAACCTGCGAAGAAGGTCAAAAGAATCCAATAGATCTTGTGATCAACTGTTGGCGTTTTAGTGACTTTACTGGTTGTGACTGTTTTATATTTTTTGCACCATCGAAAATGTTTACAGTTGGTATAAAAATGCTTTAGTTCATAGTGTTTTTAAATAGTTGCCACCTTCGATTATTTATGTGCCAGAGAGAGCATTATCTTCCCAATGTAGTTTCATGCCATGATTGTTGCATATCAAGTTCAGTTTTCATGGTTGTTTCTACAGATTGATTATATAGACTGTATCATCCACTCTAACGAGCATGAAGATTGCAAGCTGCGCTGGCCTCGCCAAGCCCACTTTCCTGCTCGCTCATTACGAGTTACCCTCTTTCTCTCTCCACCGACCGCAATTCATCTCCATCACGCCTCTATACACTCCCCACAAGCTCAAGAACCGATGTGGAATAGTGATGAGGATCCATTCCTCCATTGCCGGGAGAAACCGTTCACCCCGCCCCAAGCAAGACAGGTTCAAACGGGAACAAGAAAAAGTCAACCCCGCCTCCTTGTACACCCACCCCACCTTAGTAGAGATGAAAAACGAGAGAATCGCAAACCGGGCCCGCGTCTACGAATTCCTAAGGGGCATCGGCATAGTCCCCGACGAGCTCGACGGGCTGGAGCTTCCAGTCACCGCTGATGTCATGAAAGAACGAGTACATTTCCTCCACAAACTCGGCCTGACGATCGCGGACATCAACAATTACCCTCTCGTCCTCGGCTGCAGTGTGAAAAAGAACATGGTCCCTGTGCTCGACTACCTCGGAAAATTGGGCGTCCGGAAATCGACTTTCACCGAGTTCTTGCGCCGGTATCCTCAGGTCCTGCATGCAAGTGTGGTTGTCGATTTGGAACCTGTCGTGAAGTATCTGC